CCACACCAGGCACACTAATACACACCGCCCAGGCACACTAACACACACCACCCAGGCACACTGATACACACCGCCCCAGGCACACTGATACACACCGCCCCAGGCACACTGATACACACCGCCCCAGGCACACTAACACACACCACCCTAGGCACACTGATACACACCGCCCCAGGCACACTGATACACACCACACCAGGCACACTAACACACACCACCCCAGGCACACTGATACACACCGCCCCAGGCACACTGATACACACCACCCCAGGCACACTGATACACACCGCCCCAGGCACACTAATACACACCACCCCAGGCACACTGATACACACCGCCCCAGGCACACTGATACACACCACCCCAGGCACACTAATACACACCACCCAGGCACACTAATACACACTACCCCAGGTACACTAATACACACTACCCCAGGCACACTAATACACACTACCCCAGGCACACTAATACACACTGCCCCAGGCACACTAATACACACTGCCCCAGGCACACTAATACACACCACCCAGGCACACTAATACACACCACCCAGGCACACTAATACACACTACCCCAGGCACACTAATACACACCACCCAGGCACACTAATACACACTGCCCCAGGGTCCCCTTCTAGTCTTTGCCCGATTGAACTCTGCTGGTCCTTCCCCCTGCCTCCAGCCATGGTCCTCTCCATTAGACTGCCTGTTACTCTACCCCACCCACAGTGTAATAATCTCACCACTGGGGAGGGGGGGGTAAACTACCAATTGAGTAATGGGAAATAAAGATTAGATTGATTTCCCAATCACAAGGGGCAATTCAGAGTCATAATTAAAGGAAATGACATCAGTTTATCCCTATCAGTTACGAGTTCAATTTGCCAAGAATGAACATAAAATTAACAAACAAACAAAAGGGCTGACGTTTAAACTTTCAGTCTAATTCTTTGGGAACTCTGTGGGAAGCTGTATGGTGGTGCATGCCTGTGGTCAGGAGGCCGTTGCAGGAGGATTGTGAGTTTGAGGCTAGCTTGGGCTATGTGACAAGTTCCAGGGCAAGCTGAGCTAATAGTGACATGCTATCTCAAAAGAAAAAAAAACGAAAAAGAAAGAAAGAAACCTGGAGGGGAAGCTTCTGATGCCACCAGCATGTGAAGGCCACACGTCTGGTCTTTATTTCTGTGTAGGAAAAGAGCCCAAAGAGATGTGGTCAATTGCAGGTCATCAATTAGAAAACAAGAGTATTAAGACACAAAAGGAAACAAAGATGTATCTGGTAGCAGAAAGGGTGGAGACACATCCGTGGGAGGCAAGGTGAAAAGCCACCAGCTTCTCACCTCATCTCTACTTTACACTCCCACCATCATCTCCAATTATCGCTTTGTTTTCGCCAGTACAAGAAAAAAAAAATGAAGCTAAAATGCCAAAAGTCAGTTCCTCTCTCTCCCTTAGCAAAAACTCAAAGATGGGATTTCATCAAGATAGAAAGTTTCTATGCATCAATCAACAAAATGATAAAAAACAACCCAGGGATGGGAAAAATAGTCAAAAACCATGAACCCAATAGAGGTTACTGTCCAGATTTGTGTAAGGAACTTGATAACGGGGGACACGTTGTTTTTAAATGGAAAAGGATCTAAGTAGACCTTTTCCCCCATGAAGACATAAAATGATGGGCAAGTGTATGGAAGTGTTCAACATTATTGATCACCAGGGAAATCAAAATCACAGTGAGGTTCACCTCAGACTTGTTATCATGGAAAAAAATAATAACAAAGCAGATGGCCAGGTATAGTGACTCATGCTTATATTCCTGGCATTTTGGAGGCTGAAGCAGCAAGATTCCCGGGAGATGTAGGCCATCCTGGGCTAGAGCAAGAGCCTATCTACAAAAGAAAGATTTTGTTCACAGTTGTTGAGAATGTGAGTTGGTAGAGACATCACACAACATAAGGAAATTTCCTTAAAAATTAAACAGAATTTCAACCCTACTTCTTACTTTACATTCAAAGGAAATGAAATCCTGACATCAAGGAGATCTTTCTACTCCCCTGATCTTCCCATTATTCACAGAAGGCGAGATATGGAGCAACCCGAGGCCCCGTCAACAGAGTAAAGAAAATGTGAGACAGCCCCTAGCCCGGTCTGTGGAATTATCACTTGTTTGTGAGATCTAAAGCCGTAGAACGCACAGAAACAGAAATGAGAAAGGCGCTTCTGAGGGCAAGAATGAGGAAAGGGAAGAGGCTGGGCACAGGAAGATGCTGGGCAGTCGGAAGACAGATGAGTCTCAGAGATCTGATCACAGCACAGTGTTTAGTGATAACTCATTTCATAGCTGAAATTTCTTGTGAAAGCAATTTTAACGCTTCTTTCTTTTTTTTTTTTTTTTTTTTTTTTTTTGTTTGTTTGTTTTTTTTTAATCTGTGTGTTTATTGCAGCGCTGGGTTCAGTGGTCACAACCTAGATTTCAAGAGAACCCTAATGTATAAGTTAATGGTAGAACACTAGTTTTACGCTTTTTTTTTTTTTTTTTT